GTGCCTCATGCTTTGAAGCAGTATGACATGGACTGCCGCGCCAACATGACACTTTCTCTCCTCACGCTCAAGTGCAGGAGACGGTCAGGCGTGATCGTTGGTATGTATTTGAAAGAGCTTTTTATACTCTATCCAACGATGCCTCGCGCGTCCATTTTTGTCACCATTTTCCCGAGTTATGTTCTTTAGAAATCATCACTATAACTTTGCCCGAGGACTTATGACCCAACCTAATATTTGACTCGAGAAATGAGAGAACAAAAAAACCTCAGAATCGTAACAAAACGGGTACAAAATGCTCCAGGAGCCTACCTGAGCAATGCCAACGATAGCAGTACCAAGTATTTTATCATTTGGGAGAAATAATTCGGGGACAATTGTATAGGCACTTTCACCGCATACAGCTGCAGCTGAGAGATCCACTGAAGCCAGTATAGCCAAAGTCGCTCCTAATGGTAGACCAAGCGAAACTAAAATAAAAGGCGATAAAGTAAAATTCTCAATAAAACCAGTAATGGCCTAAAAGCAAATAGACTTGAAGCAGAAAATTACACTCACCACTTCCAAAATTAATAGCAAGTATAGCAAATATGCCAATGAAAATGCTCATGATAGTTGGAACTAACAATAGAAATCTTCTATTGAAGCTTTCAAAGCACCTAAATAGTTAAATTCAGTTTCTTTCTTAGAAAGATTCGCTTCTTAGAATCACCCCAGATATAAAACTTTCAAATCCAGTGTAGGGGAAAGCGCTTCCTCTCGCATATATTGTGGGAAATGGTAAAGATATTGAGGAAAAGTGTGATAGGCTTTAAAAAAGTACCGGTGGAAATGACCGCTTAATCCACCTCGTGCTTCTCCCCCCCTCTAGGTCTTAATTGAGAATCTATATTCCTTCCTAGCCTGTGGTGCTGGCTACTCCTTCTTTTCTCCAGTGCCTAATGTGCCTAATATTGGAGAAACAGGAGTAGGGAATGATGCCCATCTCCCTTAGCTACATATTTCACCAAACATCCTAACGCTCCATATTTCACCAAACATCCTAACGCTCCATATTTGTGAAGAATTTTTCTAAAAAGTTAGTAGCGTGAGCAAAGATACGGTTAGCAGCCAATATTCTGCTTTCTGCCACCCCCTCTTCTCCCTGAGTGAGAGGGTGTTTGAGGGTATTTGACTGGCTTGACTGACCAATACACCTGAAATGTAGCACCTCCGAAGAAAATTAGGATGCACGCCCAAATCCAGCTAGGACAATAACAATGCAAGGGTAATATTCAAACATTCAGAGGATGGTTACGGTAACCTGCCGCGAAAAGACTTCCAGATACGTGCCTACGAGCGCGGGAAATTGAGTACGTGGTCCGCTCGCCACTCCTTTCTTCACCGTTCGTCCCTTTCCATTAAAATATTAGGTTGTAAGGAAAGTGCTCGCCGTTTCAGCGCCGTATAAATTCAAATTTTGGCGGCTATCAAATCAGACCAGTCGATGTGTTGTGCTCCTTAGGCGAGCCATAAGTTACTTTTCCTGTCAGAGCACTATTCACGAAATTCCGTAAAGTTTTCAAAATCTTTGAGACGTTTTTTTCCAAAATGGATTAGACTGCTTTTCATATGGTTTTACTTAACGAGTTCAAGCTTGGTGAAACTGCGAAGGAGGGAGCCACAAACATCAAAGTTGCATGGAGAGAAGGCACTGCATCGGAGCGAAGAATTCGGCTTCGGTTTCAGAAGTTGAGAAATGAAAACGAGTAACTGAAGGGCAAAGAGCGAGTTGGTCGCGAGAACGAGACCATCGTTCGTTGATCAAGATGGTTTGCTAAGAGCAGTAGAGGAAGATCGACGTCAACCATTGAGAGAGTCTAACAAGCATATGGGTGCTTCCCATACAGTCGTAGCTGACCACTTCAAGCACTTTGGAATGGTGAAGAAACTTGATAATTGGAGCCAGCTCACGGAGCAGCAACAATTGAGGCGCCTAGAAACTTCAAGTTCCTTGCTGAGAGGGTGATATTGAGCCACTTCATCGTCGTATTGTAACGTGTGATAAAAATTAGATCGTATACGACAACAGAAAACGCTTTGCTAGATGGATAGGTGTGGATGACCCTCCAAAAAGTTTTCCCAAGCCAATTATGCACGTCAAGAAGACAATGATCGCAGTTTGGCGGTCTAACCATGGATTAATTCACTGCTCGTTTCTTCGTCCAATCATCATTACCGCATAATCCTACTGTGATCAAATTCACGAGATGTACACTAAACTAGAGTGAATGCAGCCAACCCTAGTGATGCGAATGCTTTTGCACGACAGTGGCCGATCGCATGTGTCACAAATTGTCTTCCAGAAGTTGAACGAGCTGCGGATCGGAGCTCTCCTTCATCCAGCCTACTCATTAGACTTGTCACCATCTGACTTTCATTCATTCAAACACTTGGACAACTTCTTAAAGGATCGAGAAGTCGAATCGAAAGTCAAAGCGGCATGGAGGCTGCCTTTCTCGAATTCTTGAAGTCCATATCACCAGTCTTTTATGATAAGGGAATAAGCAAACTTGCATCACGTTGGCAAATATGTGAAGGATCGAAAGGGACTTATATTGAATGAAAATGTTCACTTTTTGATGAGTTATGATTTTTTGAAAACTAGCTGTCGAAACGGCAAGAATTCCCTTACAACCCAATAGTTGGCACCCTTGTGGGTAAAGCCGCGCACCACACTGCGAGAGGGCTGGGGAAGCAGACAGTACTGCTTCCACTGCTTTTTTGAAACTACTTTATTTAATTTTAGTGTTTCGTAAAAAAGCGTTTATAGACCTACTCAGCTGATGACGAATTTATGGGAAACTCACGCTAGAAGGCCAATACTGATTACAGCTTGAGGCAACGACATCAGCAGTGATGCGCGTTGCGCCATACCCGATGGCATACCATATTTGCCAAAAATATGAGTTGAGTATGAGATCCAGAGCTAAACGATTATTGGTACTTATCTATGTACGAGCAAGAGAGAGTATAGGTTACCCAACAGACCCAATCATCAAGATGAACGAAGCTCTGCACAAATAAGGCCAAGAAAAGAGGCCTTACGAACTGGCCGCTCTGCAAAAGAACATGTTTGGTCTGGAATGGATCAACTGCTGAAGTCATTTATGTCATAGTTCACAATTTAGAAATCTTTTTCATTGGCAGTCCTGGAACACCTTGAAGGCACAGTACACGATAATTTTGGGTAACCCAGATCATTACGAAAAATGAAGACAAGATGGAAAATAGTGCGATGAAGGCGAGGGAACTGCGTGGATCGGTGTTCCCGAAGTGAAAAAAAAGCTTCGAAAAATCGTTAAAAAGGGGGCTGGACGGGAATGAGGCCAGAAGAATGAAGAAGAGTGGGGCACTTGGACGAGCTACGCACAGTGCGTCATTGCGTACGTGTGGGTCCTGGTGCATTAACTGACTACGGTAAGCAAAATTCATTCACTTATAAGCATGAGTAAACAAAATACCATAGTTGCAGCAAAAATAGCTCACCTTTTTCAGTATCTTGGGTAGGAAACTGAAAAAGGGATCGCGGCAGCAAAAGGAAAAACAGAGGAAAAAAGAATGGGAGAAAACACCGCCTCATCACTCGGTGTACAGCTGATTGTGTGTGGGTCCTAGAACGAATAATTGCAATCTGTATTGCCTCGACACTCGTCTGACGTGCCATCGATCAAGAGGCGGGAAGGCCATTCAAGACAGCAACGGGGCTTCCACTATGCCCTGACCGTCGAGATTTTGGAAGCGAGAGTGTTTTTTTTTGAGAGTGTTTTCCTAGAATGCGCAGCCAATACTAAATGCTTGGCAAAGCTCATTTATGGCTAAGTGCCAACAGAACCTTAGTACTGCGAAGAGCGGGTGCGAGTTTCAGTAGCCGAACAGCGCGCCGCGATCCGATAGCGTTCAATCGCGTCTTCTGAAGGAAAAGTTTCGAGTCCTCATTTGGTGACCACGGTGATTGCGTCGGGATTAATGTTGCTTGTCATGGGCATACGTGTACAATAAGATCATTGGAAAACACTTTGAGGTATAACATTAGAGATAATGCGTCCACGCCGGCACATCGAAGCTTGTCATTGCACAGGTCCGCTGCCGGGTTTCAACATGATCTCGTCCTTCTTCTCGAAATGTCGAACTTAGACCATAATTTGCGATTTCCAGGTTTAGAAGACCAGTTCCAGTTCGACGTTCTACCCGTTACAGTAATTTCAGAACATGCTGCAAATTAGAACTAGAGCTCGGTCAGCCTCCACTCAACCGCCTATTGAGTAACTCCCCTAACAGTTTGTAGTGCATCCAACATATTAACAGCTTCTAGAGTCAACTAATAAAACAAAAAAAGTATCGGTATCAAGTTTTCGGGTGAACAAGAAATAGGAAATGCTCAGCTACATGATGAACATTTCGATGAGGAACCCTTAAACGTAAACTGGCGATTCATGGCGGTGTGGTCACCCTCAGATGAGGTTGAGGACTGAGAATGGTAAATTGATTGAATTAGCTGAAATGCAATATGCGTGATTTCGACTTCATTTCAATGGGAAATTTTGCATCACCTTATCTTCTTTGGTGAGAGCCCTTTTCTGGAGCTTTGTCTTACCTCAAATGCTCCCACAATCGGCACTCAGGAAAGTAAAGTTTTGTAAAAGCCGAATAATACATTGTCCAGACTCAAATTGCGGTGTACCAATTGTTTGCAAGACTGAAGAACCGACTTTGAATCTTTCCTTAGTCATAGCAAGCGCTGACAGTTGCGGTTCTGTTGGCACGGGTTTCTCCTCCTTCTTGGCATTACCGTTTTCGTCAATTCTTTCCACAACCTGAATAAAGCCCTTATGTGGACATCCGAGTAAAAAAGATAAGTTACAATTACGTTCGAATTTTCCTCAACTCTCAAGGGTAGAGTCGTAGAGTTATTTAAGGAAGGTTAAAAAAATTCTCTGCAACTGAGTGCTTCCTCAATCTCTTAGAATCTGTGATTTATTTGAATAAGCCCCGCCAGTTTCGAAGGGACACTATGTTCGGAATGTGATTTGTCTAGGAATGAACATTGATTACACGAAATTTGATCAAGAGATTTGTAAGGAATATTTGACCCATGTTTTTTTTTTTTTCAGGTGAGAAGAGCTGCTTCACTGGGCTCCGGCTCAAACAGGGTGGGCTTCACTCGGAACCCTTCTGGATTGATGGCTCGCACACAACATCGGAGAGCGCGTTGTATTTTTGAAAAGGATTCGGGAACATAGGAGCAAATCCAGTAAGAAGTTGTAAGCCTGTCCCTAAACCTGCTTAACATCTTTATACCTGTTGGAGAACCAGGATTACTATTCGTTTATATCTGCATCGTAGGCGTTGTACCTATCTGTCCTGTAGCTGTTACCTTTATTGTCGTACAAGTAATTTCTCTTAAGCCTCAACCCCATTTGTCTCACCTCTGATAAGCGGAAAGCACAGGTTGTGGGGAACGAATCTGCCGATATTTTCACAGTAGTCTGGGATTTCTATGATTTTCTCCCAGGAGTTTGTGGAAGCTTCCACTTCCATGGAATCACTATACAAAGACACTACTTCTTTGGAACATTTCGGAAACCAAGGTTCAGTCTCGTAGAGTTTTGTACTTTGATTAAGAACTTATAATAATAATAATAATAATAATAATAATAATAATGATATAACAAAAGTTTGATGATACTGGCTCCGTTCGGTATTCAATTTGGGCCCGCATTTCCGCCTTTCACAAAACACCAACTATAAAAATCACATGTGATCCTTCCTTGTAAGCATTGTAAGAGGAGTGCACCTACTCAGTTCATTCATGTTACATAAGTATTTTAAAAGCACCTGGTAGAATAACATCGATTTTCTTGCTTCTTCTTCACGATTTTCTAGAATTAGGAATCTGAAAGATTTTCCATAAGTCCGTAGTAAAATATAAGCATACTTGTATCAGTATTCTATTGACTTGTGTTGCTATTTTGTTATTGCAGTGGCATGAATCACAATGTAGTACCATCCAGGTAATCTGTTTGTGAGCACACTAATGAAATTCAGTTTTGCTAACGCTATTCCTTCATGCAACGGACTTCGTGTTCGGTTCTAGTTTACTGAAAAGAAAACTCTGCAACATCTGATTTGAAAATTAATCAGCATAGGCCTAATTGGCTCTTTCATACTCATCTCAGAACACGGAGTGAGAGCGAATTGCAAATTACGGTAAATGGGCTTAAAGGCACAGTTCACGATAATTTTGAGGTACCCGTATTCATTCATATAGCGGAAGTATAGATTGGGAATAGTTCTTCGATAGCGAAGAAAGCGGGAGAATGCGATTCCGAGAAAAATATGGCTCCTCAAAAGTAGGGAAAATTGAGGTTGGAGGAAATGGTCATGACGGAAATAACATGGAAGGGGTATTCCCCTTCCATGTTATTTCCGTCATGACAATCTACAAGTTCTTTGAACTTCCTACGTGGGTTCCCTTGAGAGCGGTGCAGCCTCTACAATGCCGGCGAAACTCGTCCGAGTATATACACGGGCCAATCTTTGAGCCTTTATAACTCCCTGACTAGGCTGTTTTCCGACCTAATAGTGCCAGATACGGTATACGCGGGTGCCTCAAATTCATCCCGTGGAGGAATGTCAGAAACCATATCGTGATTTGTGCTTTTACATACGCTGAGCCGCATTCCTAATAGTAGTGGAGCGTCGTGCCCTGGCGCTCCGTCAATTCCAGACTTTATTTCGCATCAAGACGTATTATGTTGATTACATGAAGACCGACGTGAACTCTCTTCTGATGCGCACATACATAGCACTGAGAAACTGCGTAATCGTAAGCTGCGCTATCCGTCAAAGGTCGATTAGCGAGATGTCGTTCAAAATTTCAAAAAAATCCTGTGGAGAACGGGTTCTTCGGTTGACTCGCATCTTTAAAGTAGAGCATCATATCCCATGGCAAAACAGAGGCGTAAAACCCTGCTTTTGGGTAGGATAGTTTTTCGTGAATAGGTGTTAAAGGGATGTACTAACTACAGATTCGTTAGCTATTTGAGAATATTTCCTATATATTTCTGGTATTCTATCGTCTTCCACTTACTTTGAAAGCTAGCCTGTTCTTAACTCGCACTGGATCCATTTCATCTGGTCCTTAGCAAAACAACCATCCGTATTCACATTGAACGCTACTCCAGACTTTAGAATAGGCTAGGTTCTCAAACTTTTCCAACGACTTTTTTTTTCGATTTCAATAATTCTATGTATACCTACCGAGGACTTTGAGGTGCTCGTGCAAGAATGCAGAGAGCAGGTATAAGAAAAATAAGTGGAAAGCCCATAGCCACATGCCAAGTTGACGGACGTCCTAGCAGTTCCTCCAGCGAGATCACCATCCCAGCCAGTTCACCAAGACAGGCCCAAACAGTCTTCAATGGAAAATAGGTTTACTTATGCAAGATTACCAGTTAAATTGTCATGTCAAATGACAACGTTTTCTTCGCCGCCTAGTTAATGTATAAAGGAATGCAAATATAACGACCACCTACCAAGGTGGCCAGGGCGATGCCACGCTTTTGTGGCGGCAACTCGGTAAGCATGACTGATCCGGAGGTCTAAATACTATTTTTTAGAAGCTGCCGGTTCTACCCTATTCAGCACTGCATCATCATTTTACCAGGAGCAGTGGTTGGTACTTACCTGCACAATACCTTGCCCGCACCCGTTGATGAACCGGCCAATAGTCGCTGCCACCATGCCAAATTTGACGTTCACCGTGAATAACGTCAGAAGAATTCCAACAAGGTCCAGTACACTTCCTCAAATAGCATATGCTTCTTTCTCAAAAATGGTGCTAAAATTATGAAAGGTATGCCAATGAAACCCCAATCACTGAATTCTGAATGGCTTACGTAGACCATTATTATTAGGCATCAAGTTGTGAGCTTTGCTTTCGCTTAGGTGTTATACCAGTTAAGTAATGTCTCTACAAAACGCAAATAAATAAGTCTCCTGAACAATCAACAAAGGTGTTCAACAGATAACCCATTAGCTCTCGTAAAGGCACAGTTCAAGATAATTCATTGTTGCTGGCTCGCGGAGCTTTCCCGCCCTTCGATCGCTGTCGCGTCAGACGAGTGTCGAGGCGATACAGATTGCAATTATTCGTTCTAGGACCCATATACAACCAGCTGATCGCCGAGTGATGAGGCGATCAGCTGGTTGTGTGTGGGTCCTAGAACCTAGTGATGGTCCTAGTGATGTTTTTCTCCCATCCTTTTTTCCTCTGTTATTCTTTTTGCTGCCGCGATCCCTTATTTAATTTCCTACCCCGAGAGGCTGAAAAAGGTGAACTATTTCTGCTGTCACTAGGGTTTTTTGTTTACTTATGCTTATAAGTGAATGAACTATTGCTTACCATAGTCTGTTATTCGTACCAGGACCCCCACGTACGCAGTGAGACACATTGTATAGCTCGTACAAACGCCCCACTCTTCTTCATTTTTCTGGTCTCATTCTCATCCAGCCCCCTTTTTAACGGTTTTTTGAAGCCTTTTTTCACTTTGGAAACACTGATTCACGCATTTCCTTCGCCTTCATAGTACTATTTTCCATCTTGTCTTCCATTTATCGTCATAATCTATATTACCCAAAATTATCGTGAACTGTGCCTTCGACTTTTTTTTTGAGAAAACCATCAAATGGCTTGGTGGGGTCATGGTACTGTTAAATAAGCAGGGAAGAAGTAGCTTTATATGTTTTCCGTAAGCGTGGATGGTTCCCTCAATCTGAAGCCTAATTGAAGCTTTCGGGAAATCTTGGAACGAAAACGTGGGAAAAATGTTAGAACGACGACCATATTATGATCAGGTCTGATGGAAATTTAGGCACATGCCATTGCGCAAACAACTACTCATAACCTTCCAGGTTCCTCGGAAACAGATTAAACACTCTCACAAGAATGTATTAGTTTTTTTCCGCGCTCGTTCAGCCGTTCCACTGAATTCTCGAGGAATGGCTGCTTTCATAGTCCACGATTTGGCCCGCGAGCGTGCGAGCGAGCGAGCGATTGAGCCGGCGCTTGCCCCTTGTGTACAACTGAATCTTGGTCGATACCGCGGGCAAGCGCCGCCCCAATCGCTCGATCGCTCGCTTGATCGGTCGCTCGCTCGCTCGCGGGCCAAATCGTGAACTATGAAAGCAGCCAACTGGGCCCAAAGCGTCTAACTATAAGACAGCACAGAGGCTACGTTTAGTGAAAATGCTGAACAAATGCTGGACAATGAGCTGAAAATGCTGCTGCTGATGATGATGATGTAAACATGTTGAGTAATTACAAAGCTAGTTGTATTCCACCTTTATGGATGAAAACGTTGTGTTACCGCTTTCTTATTTCTGTTCAATAGAGGAAGACTCAGAAAAAAAAAGATGAACGAGATTGTGTTTCAAGTAAAGGTAACAAATTTCGATAAAGAGCGCAGAGAAAAATAAAAAACAACACTGAGCATAGTTGACATACCCAACATCACAGGGAATTTGTGATCGTGCCGTCTGGATAAGAATATAGAAGCGAAACATCCGAACGCAAGACCGTATATTCGTGACGAGACCATAATTCCCCATGCAACATCGGCTGGATACACAGTAAGTGGTACTAATTTAACAAAAAAAAAACAAAGAATCCTAGCAATAACATTAGGACCAACAATAGAAGTTGAGCATTGGATTAGGTTCTTTTTTCACCTACCGTCTTCCTTGGTATTATAAACTGTCATTAGGTATGGCCAAGCTGCTGGTAAGAGGTTGTCCATAACGCTGTCCAGGAACAGCTTAAAACAATAAAAAAGTTTTTACTGAGTCTTCATATTTCGGTTAAATGTAATTCCGTAGAAAAGAGTAAGTCGTGTATTTTTCCGAAAAGAAAATATTGATCGAAACTGGTCCGTTCGTTATGTCCGATCTGATCCCATGAACTACAGGGTGACTCACATGAAGTGTGACGGGCAATAAAAAAATGGAGTTATGGGCTTCTGGGCTGGAGGATGCGGTGATCCCTTGAGCCGAGAAATCCGCTGAGACTTTCAGCAGAATTGGGCACCAGCCCACAGCGCAAAGAAGACACTGGGTCCGGGTCTTTGGACAAAGGAGGTTTGGCCTTTGAACCCTCGATCTCAATCTTTGGATTTTGCTGTATGGCTAACTCTGGAGCAAAACCCTGCGCTTTTGAACACAGGTCTCTCTGAGAAGAGCTTTCTTGAAAAAGCGTGGGATGAAATTTTGCCGGAAGTGATTGCGCGCATTCTTGAAAACTTCCGAAAGAGGTTGGATGCTTTTATTAAGGCGAAAGGTGGTCATTCTGTGTGCGAGATGTGATATATTGTTTACAATTTTTGTGATGATTGTACAGAAGTAAATGTTCCCCATTTGGTTTGATTTTATAACTTCAATGTTAGTTGTCACACTTCATGTGGGTCACCCTGTAGTATATACTCAAGGGGATTAATAGTGTTTGGAATATTTTCGTTTGAGGACCATTCGAATAGCAATCGATTTTAATGCGGTTTCAGTTTGACTCGAACAGCCAGATCTGGAACACTTTTCTCACCAGACTCTATGTACCTTCGCTGTATTCCACAATGATTTCCCTCAGCTACCTAGGAGAGGGGATTCCACCCAGGTCTTGGTATTCAGTTTCATCATTACTATACCAGGAATCGGAAGTATTAGCGGGAAATATAGCAGCTTACTTTTTCACGGGCCAAGAAATAAAGCACAAAAAAGTGGTCAAATTATTGAGGCAATTTAAGGCATTTTTTTAATATGTATTTAATGGCATGATATGGTATTATAAGGTATGGTGGGCAAGAAATGCCATAAAGGTTAAATGGGAAATGAATATCAATCAATATCAACAAATATTATATATGATTCACCATAAAATGACTGGCAACTCCGATGCTGAGCACGACTAGGGCAAGCCGTAGATTTGGTGACCATGAGCTGCAGATGGACGGTGAACTGGTGATTCGTATGGAAACATCGCTTGCCTTCATCGTTACTCTACTTCTGCGAATACTAAAGCAGTAATCAACATTAAGAAAAGTTGAGAAATCCGACAGGTACTAGAGAAAACAGTTCCCATGACAGATGAGCATTGAACATTAGATTGGAACCATATGGCATGGTGCGACGAAAGAGAGTTAGTCAGTGAGAATACTATAAATATGAGCCGAGCACTATTGCATAAGCAATTGGAACTTGTTATTGCAAAGACTACACACATGATATCATCATACTCACATTACATTATTGATGATCTATCTATAAGTGAATGTATCCTTCCGTTTCGCATGAAAACAAAGGTTATCATCTCTAGAGACAGGAACTATTCGAGTGTAACTTAGTATACAGGCTGACCAGAGGCGAGGGTATAGCTGTGGTGCAGTAGGAACGAAATTGTCGCGTCGCGACGAAGGAGACGCCGCGCGCGAAGAAATGTAGTGGAGTGCAGCAGCAAGTAAGAAATTCAGGAACAAAATAACTAACATTAGAATCGTGCCATAAATAATAATCGCATAGAGCTGAGCTTGAGGCGAGAATCGCACTGTTATAACGAGGCAAGTGGCTCGCGACAGCCGCGTGAGGCGGATCGATTACACAAAACCGTTCCTACTGCCCGTCTCCGGTATAGTTGGCGATGTGGCCAATCTAGCGAGCAGGCACACATCTGGAATTTATTCAAAACTGTATAGATATTGGTAAGCGATTCCACTTTGTCCAATGTTTATTTCATGGCTCACCCATAGCTGTGTTTCTCGTTTTTATTTCTTATTACAGATACTTTGACTGTTTGATCAATACGATAGGATTACCCTGCTCTTCATGGGTAGCGTGATTCAAACTTTGCAGGGGGATAGGTGTTAGGCGATTTCCTCAGTCAGTGGGCATTACCCATCACATCAGTTTAATTCAAACGGAATCTCAGTGTTCAAATGAAGGAAACATGTTGGTAGCCTTGGGTATCTTTTCACAGCTATCACATCAAAAGCTTGCAAAACAGTAGAATAAATGGTAGAGTTTAATGGGGGAAGCTCTTCATGAGGGTAAGGATCAGGAGTAGTGTCAGAACGTTTTAATTAGTAGATCCAAGTATTAGAGCTTGGAAGTTGGCAAATGTGCACGTATATACATAATGAGCTTGTAAAAATTAGTAATAAAGAAAACCGAAGAATGGACCGATATTGGAGAGATAGTGCTTTTTCGGAGTATTCCGATGAGTTTGGAACAGAGGAAGAGCGGAATGGGAGCGCCTCAGGTTTACATGATCTAAATTGGAACGAAGTGCTGTCGCCCGGGTGCGCAAGATATAAACAGACGGCAACATTCAGAAGAGCCATCGATTTGTAGTCTGCAGTGGTCCATGTGCAATCTAGTCATATTTATATTAATATTCAATCATCATTATAGGAGCCTGGTTCGTAGACGGTGGGAGAAAGTTCCTCCTCCTATCATTACGCCCTCCATTTATTAAAGAAGCAATATGGAATGTATTGCAGTAGGAACGAAATCGTCGCGTCGTGGCGAGAGGGGCGCCGCGCGCGATGGCCAGGTAAGAAACACACGAACAAAGGAACTAATAGTAGAATCATAACTAAACTTAGGATCGCATATCGATTGAGCTGAATGATGAAGGCTAGAGCAGTAATAACGGCGAACGAATGGTCCGCGACAGCCGCGTGCGGCGAATCGACTACAAAACCGTTCCTACTGCCCGTCTGCCAGCAATATGTGTGCTAGTAGATAAAAAAGCAGTAGGAAGAAGTCGGTGAAAGCAAATTGGCCAATCTTCTCCTGCCAAGTTCAGTCAGTAACACAGTTGGAATTGGGGCTATGGAAATAAATTCAATACAACAATATTTTAGAATGAGATGTAATCATGCATTCGAAAAATGTCATGAGAAATATTCAGAATGAGTTTTCTTCTAAGACCGCCCTTTTCCAGCAGAGCTTCCACGCAATCAGTCTTCATATTAGTCCCTACGATCACCTATGAGAATTCCTTTTGCTTCCTCACTCTTGAAAAGAGGTACCACTTCTTTTTTGGAAAAAGTACTACTACACAGTAACCTTCTCCGAGTACTCTTTTCTAATTTTATGTTTTATGCAAGTAGTGCCCGTGTTGATGGTTTGGCAACTTAAAAGATGAAGAAATTATTACAAGATAATAAGAAACACTAAGCAACCTCAAAAATGAATAATGATAAAGGAATTACATTATAAGATAATAAAATGCGAGCTTTGGTAATAGATATAACAAAAAGCATAATGAACAGACTAATAGGTACACTTATAAACGTAACTATGAATACAATTGCAGATCCTGAAGAAAATCACAAACCGGCCGAGGCCGATGTTTCACGGGAGACGGGCGGTAGGAACGGTTTCGTGCAACCGATCCGCCGCACGCGGCTGTCGCCTACCATTTGCCTCGTTATAACAGTTCTAGCGTTCTTCATACAGCTCAATCGCTATACGATTATTACTTTTGGCATGATTCTACTGTGAGTTCTTTCGTTCCTTTATTTCCTACTTGCTGCTGCACTCTGCTACATTCCATCGCGCGCGGCGTCTCTCGCCGCGACGCGACTATTTCTTTCCTACTGCACCACATCCGATGTTTCATCATAGCTCGCCAATCCTGTAAAACCTTCAATGCACACTGCGGAGAAATAGCAGCAGTCAACAAAAATATCAAATCAAAACATAATTTCAAACGTAACAATAAATGTAATGGTGATAAGGATATTAAGAACATTAGTATAAATATGATCAAAAAGTAGGACAAGTTCTTGAAAAGATTCCAGTCATCTACTGATTTATTAACTTAGTTCAAGTGCACGACACGTTCCACTAAAGATTGAGTCACCATTTCAATTTTTCGCGAACCCTAACACCAACCAGACCGAAAACTCATGAGAACGCGAAAGCGTGATGAATTTGATGAAGGTTGAAGGTGTCGATGGTAGAATCATTCAGTATGCTGAAGTAGCGAATGGTATCACAACATGTATTATTGAGTTTACCGTTATTCTGAACTCTTCACGAGGTTTGTAAACAAGCTTTATTAGGCTGACGTTTCGGCGATA